GGTTTGAGGCCCAGGTTTACATAACAGAAGTCTCCTCCCTTGGGTTTGGATTCTCACAAATAGCGAGTTTTCAAAGACAAAATTGGAGTCAGGCAATGATCTATACTACAGGGGTTTCTGAAGAAAGTCATTATTGTGTCTGTGTTGCATTTCAGAAATCTTGGCGGTGTGGGTGGCAGGACAGCACAGTGTGACCCAAGGACATGCTCCCAGCAGTGCTCCATCAGCTGCAGTGTGAAAGACCCGGCAGAGAAGATAAAGTGGAAGTTCTCCCTTTTTTTAAAAAAAGAAACAGCTTTAAAGAACAAATAAACAGCCTCTCGTACAACACAGAAAACCTAAACATCATTGTTTTATGCTTGCAACACATGAAATCATGATGATAACAGAACTGAAGAACATCTCAGATACAGCAAGGGGGGAATTCAAGACAAAGACTGAATAAGCCAGATGTAGTCAGACTCTTGCCCTTTTGTTCCACCTACAATCTGACATTACTAAGAGAGGAGCAATGTCTGACATGCTGGGGACTTGTTTTATTTATTGTTTTAAAACCAAGCACAGACTAAAAGGCTTTTTCTCATCTAGATCCAAGGCTGGTGGTTACAGACTACATATGTACGATTCCTGCCATGCTTCACTGATGTGCAACGGGGCATACAAGCAAGTGGGAAGACAAGACCATTGCAAGTCAGTATTTACAAAATGGGAGGAAGTGCTCAGTAACAACACTTCAATATACAAAGAGGAAAATTAAAATGGACTATAGCAATCAACCCAGCAAACAGGCCAGGAATTCTGTGGCTGGGAACAGGATGAGACAAAGGAAAGAGACCTCAAGGGAAGGGCTAGTAGGGTAGAAGAGACACAAGACCTGCATTTGCAGTTGATACAGTGATCAGTTTTTCCAAGTTGCTTGTTATTTTTGGACCAAGCTGACTTGCAGGAGTTAGACCAGGGACTGGAAGTAATGCTCTGTCACACGGTTCATGGCAGACCATCCCCGGCAAGCTCCAACACGGCTACTGAGTCAGCAGCTCACAGCAGCAAATGCTGTCATAGTGTACATTGTGTACATTTCTTTCTCCCTCCACTCACTCTCAATGTTAGAAAAACTCCAAAAAGGAGGGTTAGGAACATCATGGCCTGCAGGCTAGGTTTTAACAGAAAAAAGATGACTAAAGCAGCTAAGCAAGAAGGATGTGATTAATAAAAATGTTTATGAGGCCAAAGAGATCCCCTCACACCCACCTGCCAAGCCTAGAGGGTATTTCACTGACAAAGACCAAGAGCCAGCACACAGCAGACAGCAAATTGTCCTGCCTGTGGGACATGACAGCAGAAACCCACCAAAGGACCTTTTCTCTGTGGGATCAAGAGCCCAACACATGTTTTACAAGAGTTAAGTACCATGTTCTCATCTCCTTCTCTGTTTCCACACCTTCTCAAACCCATTCCATCCCAACTGCCTCAGCTACCTGCAGCCAGTAAATTTCTCAATTACCTGAAAGCATCAGCTGTCCTAGGAGAAGGAGTCTTCCTACTTACAATGCACATTCAGAAGCTCCAAAGAAGATCTTCAAGCACAACTGGACTTGGGCTGCTTGTTCAATACAATTTGTCTATAGTCTCTATAGAGTCTGCAGTCAACCTCAGAGGCTTGATCCTCATTCTGAAGCTGATAGAAACCTCCAGCTGAATCCTCAAGCTGTCTCATTCCTGCAGTCCACCACAGTCTCCCCTCACATCATGCTAGAGTCACCAAAACAACACAGATCACATCTGTGAAACAGAAAAGCAGTCTTCAGAAGACCACTGTTTCTATTTCAGAAAAGTACAGAGAAAAAAGATAAATTTAGGAAACTGACAGGATGACATGGATTTAGAGGCTGACGGAACATCTTACAGAGGGATATCACAGGTATTTCACCTAAACACATCATCACCTCCCTGCCCCTTTACAGTGCTCTGTGCAGAAGTATCTTGAGCATCTGCTCAGCAGCAGAAGCAATGCAGCCCAGGACAGCTGCTGCTACAGTCCAGTAAAAAAAGTCCAAAAAAAGGCAAAAAAAGCAGCAACAAAACTCAAAGACCTCCAATTCTAGCCTCAGTTTTCCACTAATTCACTGCAGAGTCTCATTCACATCATCACAACTGGGCCAGACTATACTGGTGCTTGCTCTGCAGTGAGAGACCAGAGGCAGCAGGAGCCCCAAGCCTGCTCCCAAAACAGCTGAGGCACATGCAGTGCTGGCCAGTGTTTGGCCTGTGCATCTGTCCAGCAGAACTCAAAGCCTTTGCTTTTCCTACCCCACAGAGTGTTGCAAGGATTAGTTCATGTATATTCAACACCATTTTTCAAAGCACTGCAAAAGAGCCAAACCCTTTTATTTTTTTCATCTTTTCCTTGCTCTGTCACTCCCTCCTGAAGGGATGTGCTTGTCCCCTCCTGAGAAACAAACAAGCACGAGGTCTGCGGGAGTGGGAGGTGGGAAGCATATTCCAGGCTGCTCCTATTCTCTCAAACCACAAATGGCACCAAACCCTGCCATCCGTCCAGCACCTTGCGCAAGTGCCCGGCATCCCGGCCTCCCCAAGCAGCCCAGGGAGGAGCTGGACAGGACACGCAGCAGGATGTTTAACCTCATCCCATCTCCTTTTTTTGGTTTCAAGAAGCAAAACAAAAGGGTCAAATGGCTGTCCCTGGAGCTGTGGAGCCTGCCCACACGCCCACAGCAAGGTGGGGGGATTCTGCACAAGCCCCGCTTTGCAGCTCCCCTTCTCAGACAAAATGCCAAGCAGATGCTGCAGCCAAGGCCTACTCAAAGAGTGTGGAGCCAGTGCATCCCAACCCTCAGGGAACATGCCAGAGCCTTGGCACTCAGCCTTGGCATGAGGGGATGGTTCACATCTGAGTGTATGTAAGGGCTAAACGTCAGACCTCATGTTTTGTGCAAGTGCAGGCAAATCCGATGTGGGGCATTTTCTTCTGCGCACAGACTTGCTGAGCCAGAACAAAAGTGCAATCCTGGGAGCAGAGCTCAGGTACAGGCAGCAGCAAGGTGAGGATGTGGACAAATCACTGGAGGTTACCCTGTGGGACAAAACTGACTGGACTGCTGCTTAGAAAACCCAAGAGCCTCAGAAAGGGTTAAAGAAAAACATACTAAAAACATTAACAGGTCTAGTCAAAAAGTACCTTCCCTTGGCTACAGTGCTCAACACCTGGACAGCCATGCAGACAATAAGAATATCCACTACTCCATCAGAGAGCAGCAAAATCGGTGTTAGCATATAGATAAAGTCTCCAGATGTTGCAAAAGCAAATTGAGATGAGTCACACATAAAATAAATTTTTAAAGGGCTGCTTTCAACATATTGCTTTGATAAGATTAGAATGCAATCTAAAATGAGGAAAATAACCTCAGTCTCAGCATTAGAGCATAAATGCATAAACTAGTGCAAGAACAGCCCATACCCCCAAAATCCTCTGGAGTTTGGTAAATCAATTTTACTGAAGTGGGAGACAAAAAACCTACTCCCTAATTCAGAGGAAAGCTTTTCAATGAGCTTGACATCAGTGAGTCTGGAAAAAGTTTTGAAATCAAGACAAGAAATCAACTAATTTTTTAGCATGGCAAATTTAGTGTCACTTCCCACAGATGCTGACATTACATAGAGCATCTTTCATAATAAGGACCGCAGGAAAATTCTGTCAGCTTCACTGGCATTGCGCACAAGCTGAGATACAGTTCCAGTTCACTCCCAGGATTTCTTTCGGGAACTCTGTGCAGCACGTAGACACTAGAGTTTAAGCCAATGCAATTCTAGTCTTTGAGTTGTAAAATTGACATTAAGGCAATGTCAGAAAAGGAAGTACAATGTAGCTGTGATTTTCCAAAAGGTTTCAAAATGCAAGAGTTGATGATTTGCCTCTTTGATATGTTGCTGTGTAGGCACCGCACCACAGGCACTTGCACTGCCTAGGACAGATGTTTGCCTCTCCAAATGGAAATGGATTTCAGCAGAATCACCCCTCTTGTGCTCCACTGTGCAGGTCTTCATGTATTAGATTGCCTATAGCAACTAAAAGGCTATGATTGTACTCAAATAAAGCAGAAACCCAGAGGGAGATGTTCCAGAAATGCATTAAACATTCAGCTTGGCATGAAACAAAATTCCCACAGTTTCTGTCCTTACTAGTCATGAACAGGAAGATTTAGTATAGGTAGCTGGCTTGATAGAGCAAAAATCTTGAATGAATAATAAAAATACCATTAACTATCCTAGTATGGGTTGGTGGGGGTTTGCTGGGGGGTTTTTTATTTTTCCTTCTTTTTGGCAAAGAAGTTCAAAGAATAACATCATTTTTCTCAGAGAAGGATAGCAACTATAAGGCAGAAGTGACTGTGATAAGAAGATGATATTCAGGATGTCAATGGCTGCTAACTACTGCACAGTGTTACCCAAAGTATTTCACATCACATGGAGGATAACGAACATCAAATTCCAGGAGAAGAGGTTATATACCTCCCAGCCTCACGTACACTTCCACCTCCTCAAACACAGCATCAGTTCAATATGCCTGAAAGGGAAGCACCTCTGGGACAGAGGGCATTGGAGGGTTAATAAGGGGTTTCTGGGGGCTCTTCTCTGCAAACTGAAGGTAGATCATTTTCAGAATTACGCTATGTTATACTAAAAGACAAACAAAAACATCCTTCTCAGAAAACAAACAAACCAGCCCAAAACAAATAAACAAACACAAAACAGGAAAAGTACAAGAAAGCCAAAGCTGGATAGAGTCCACGCTGTCATCCAGGATGCTCCGTCTCGGGAACTGGCCGTGACCACTGACCGCACACACCAGTGAGAACGCTGCAGGGGGACCATAGCTGGGTGGCTTGAGAGAGGTGCAAGTGGGACGTTTGGGAGCACGGAAGCGCAGGTAACCCTCTGAAGAGGGCGGTGAGGAGGGACGGGGCGGGGCGGTGCCTTACCTGGATGTAGGCGCGCTGCAGGTAGCTGTAGGGCACCCTGCGCTGGAAGTCGGCGCGCACCTCCTCGGCGGCGCGGTGTCGGGAGGCGGCCCCGATCCGCGGCTCCTCGCAGCGCCGCACGCAGTCTGCCCGCCGCAGCACCGAACCGAAGAAGGGCAGGTCCCCGCCGGCGCCCGGGCCCGGCGCCTCCAGCCGCACCTGCCCGCGGCACGACCGCCGGCACCGCAGCCGCGCCGCCCGCAGCTCCCGCCGGCTGCGCAGCGCCCGCTCCAGGCACCGCGCCGCGCCCGCGAAGTCCCCGCCGTAGTACAACTCCACCCCGCTGGCGTATAGCGCATCGAAGGGCTCCAGCGGGCCGCCCTCCGCCGCGCACCCGCCGCCCGCAGCCGGCAGCAGCGGCAGCAGCAGCAGCGGCAGCAGAGACCCCCAGGGCCGGCTCCCCCTGGGTGCCATGCCCGCCGCACCGGGCTCGGGGCGATGCGGTTCGCAGGCGGGGCTGCTGGAGGGTCCGCGCGGTGGAGTCCGCCCGCCCGGCGGGGTCCGGGGATCCGTGCAGTGGATCTCTGTGTAGTCGGGTCCGTGCAGTGGATGTCGGCGTAGTGGCATGCGGGGGTCCGCGCGGTGGAGTCTGCCTGGTGGGGTCCGGGGATCCGTGCAGTGGATCTCTGTGTAGTGCGGTCCGTGCAATGGATTTCGGTGTAGCGGGACTCGTGGGTCTGCCAGCGGGAGGCGGGCGCGTTGCAGCGGCTCTGGGCTCAGCGGGCTCCGGGGCCGGTACGCAGAGTTCGACGGTGGCTCTGCCCGTGCCGGGCCCGCGGTTCCCCGCACGCCCGGCCCTGTGCCGCCCTCCCGCGCCGCCGGCACCTCTTAAAGGGCCCCGCGCCGCCGGCCCGCCCCGCCCGCGCCGCCGGCCCGGCCCCGACCCCCCCGCAGCGAGCCGGGGGCGCGGAGGGGGCGCGACCGGCTGCCGGGGCCGCTCGGAGCATCCCCGCTCCGCCGCTCGCCCCGGCGGCTGCAGGGATTGGTAAATGACATCGTGAAATGGAAATCTCCCTGGGGTGATGTCAGTGGCAGCAGCAGCCTTTCCTCCCTCTTCTCCGTGCCGTGCCCCACACGTCCTCCTGCCTCCCTCCTGGCGTCCTTGTTCGAAGGATGCTCGGTTTTGTTTCCCTGCGAGGCTGTTGCTTGGAGCCGTTTTCCACTGGGTTCTCCACCCCCCTCGCCACTCTCGCCCCGGCAGCCTCCCCCCTTTGGGAATTCCGCAAATAAATCATCTGGGATGGGCACAGTGAGTGGCTGGCGAAGCCTTTTCAGCTCCCAGCTATGTGTTTGTCTCGATTCCTCCAAGATTTCTCTCTTCCACTGCTGCAATGCCCTGCCCTGCCAAAAATGTTACTCATTTTTTTGCATGAATTTTAAAGCATTCTTGCAATAAGACATTTGGCGATCTGGTCTAGTGACACGTGAAAAAAAGTATCTTAGTTGGCATTTTAAATAATCTCAGTGTTGAACACCTGTCAGCGAGAAGTTTTTCATGTTAACATAGTTAATTTGGCTGAAATCAGCTGTTCCTGAGAAGGAATGGCCAAATCTTGGATCCCACTAGATGTTTTATTGTAAGCTGTTCTGGGCTTGAGTACTCCGAAGTCTGTGTGTGCAGCACTGTGCTCAGTACAAGGCATTGTGGCCTTACTTATTTCAGTCATTTCAGGAATATCTCTATACATGTTGGCTGTTTTCTCATAGACTAAAATAGCTGCAAATGGGAGATGCTTCAAATCCATTTGGTCCAGATTTTGTTACTGCATCAGGCCAGATGTTCCTCACAGTCATGCTGTGCATTCTCCTCTGCTGGTCTAGTGACTTTGATCAAATTGTGCTTTGTTTATACTGCTATGTCCGGGATCAAAAACAGGGCTCAACACCCTCTCATTGGGCAAGGGATCAGATTATGGAGTCAGTTTACAAGTTTCACATAAAGAAAGTTTTTTTTCCACATGGTTAGAGATTTACTAGCATTTTTGGTGAAGATCCTTCCCAGCTGGCAAAGATTTCATAACAATCATCCTTGTTACTTTCTTGCAAATTGACACAAAATGTTTTAAAGGTTTGGGTGTCCCTCCTTCCTTCTGCCCTGCCACGTTGGTATGCTGGGGAGGGTACTCACAACAGGGGAACTAAACACCCTGAAAGGATCTCTCCAGCGGGAGGGGAACATGCTGTAAACAATTGCCTGTGCACTATGAGGTCCAGATAAAGCCTTTTGCAAGGGAAAGGTTATCAGCACTCCTGGAGAGTGGAGGCGACATTATGACAGGGCTACTTAAACCTTCTCAAGCATCACAGAGGTGCCACTGATGACTGAAGAAATTTAGAGTGTGAGTGAGCTCTGCTCCAAATCACAGAGAGAAAACACTTGGCTTCTTAGGTGCATTTTCTGAAGCATGCACCTCAGCTGATCTATTTGCAGAAGTAATTCCCCATTGCACGTAATTCCCCATTGCTTCCAAGTCAGCAATATCTCTGCTCCTGCAGTGATAACACTGAGGCCTCACATAGGAAGGAATGCAGAAAGTAGATGAGTGACTGGAGAGAGAATGAAGTCAAAATGTTTTATTTCAGACTGATGCATTTTCTGATCCAGATCTTTTTTTCATTAAAAGTCGCTTTTAAAACATGTTCTTAGCTCTGAGACCCCACAGCCCAACTCTGCTGCTTTCTCCCAGGTTTTCTTGGTAGGCATTCACTTGCTCTAGGACCAGACTGCTACCACTCCACTTTGCAGTCTCCCTTCCTAGGGTTGTGATTTCTTTGGTCACAAAAGTTTGTGCTTTCCCCCACCTTGATGTTCCATTGCTACCTAATTGCAGAAAACAGATCAACAATAGTTAGCACATAAAGGCTCTTAATCCAGGGTATCTCTCGGACATTCAGTCCAGTTGCTTGAGCAACCACCTTTAGTTGCTGCCAGAGCAGCAGCCAGATGGAAAGGAGATTGCTGGTCCCCTGGTTGGGGGTCTTGTTCTTGCAGAAAATCTGGACCATAAGGTCTAGCAGTGCTGCTACTACAGCCATGAGCATCATAGGCAAGGTGGACTTCCCTTCATGAAGTTGGGAAGAAACCTTGCAAATATAAAGGCAGGATTTCACCCAGCAGAGCAATTACTGATTTAGGATGTTACAACTCTGAATCAGGCCCCAAGATGCCTTTAATGAAAGGAATAATTCTAAAAATGTAACAACTCAGCCCGTGTTCAGATGTTGATCCTGGCCTCTGTGCAGTTGTTTTGAAAGACCTTTTCCTACGTAAATAGGTTCATCTGAAGCTTTTTTTTTTTTGACAAAAATTCTGATATGTGAGTCAAACCACTGATGATTTGGCAACAAGATATGAGCAGAATTTAAAATGCCTTTCAAAATGGCTACTCAACATGCACTTTACAAGCAGACCTAAGTTTCAAGCCCTCTCTGTTTCATTTGTAGACTTGCTTTCATATTTAATCATGAACAAACTTTATAATTCCAAATCAAACACAGGTGACCTCTTCAGCCATGTACCTTAGTGAAAGAAAGAGCTTTGAATAAGATGCAAAAGTACAACATACACTTATGAAGGGCTTTGGTCTTTGCCTCATGTACAAAAGTGCAAGTTTACTGAATATATCAAATCTGTTACTTAAGTACTTCATGATTTTGACCTGAATCCATACCTGAATTCCATAGAATGCCTCCATCTACCCAACATCTTTTTTTTTATTCAAGAAGTTGTGAGAATGGTAGTGAATGTCAGCAAATTAAAACCAAATAAAAAATGTGCTGCAGTAAGGCTCTCCTTCTAGGAAAAATCCATCCGTGTCACATAAAACTAGTCTAGGTTTGAGCAGGGTGACAGAATGGGTGACCAAGGAGGAATTTTCTCTGTAAATTATTATTTTTGTTATGGCAAGATGTACCACATTGCAACAGTGCAGAATGTGGATGGAGAGAACACAAGGTGCCTGCTGGGGTTGCCACTGCATCTGCTCTGGGTTGTACCTGTTGTTTCTTTGTTTCTGACTTACAAATCTACTCTCCCACAGCTGTTCCACTGTATGTTTGAGCCTGTCTCTGAGGCATTGCTTTGGATGGGTTGCTGATGCCTTGAGGTCAGCACAGGTGAGCAGGAGGTTTTTAATTTTTCTTCCTAAACCTTTTAACTTTTACTTCCTCCTAGAAATATTTCTGCAGGCTCAGGACCTTGGACTGACTATTCCCCAAACAGACATCTGACCAGTGATCAGATTCTGGATCTTCTTCTTTTATAAACTACAATTGCAAGAATGCTGAGTATCCTCTATCCTAGCATCTCCCTACCCTGACATTCCTCCAAAGCATGTCCATCTCATATCTTATTGATGACATCCTCTCTCTTTTTTTTTCTTTTTTTATGGTGTCCTCTTGATGTTACCTCTGCAGAAGCACAAAATGATTGCCAGCAAAGCTTTGCTTACAGCATTGCTCTAAGTGCATAACCCACTTGTGTATCCTCCTCACATACTGTGAAGGTCATCCTTTATCCTCATTTGCAGCATCTAGTAAAGTTGCCTTGGCACAGGCTTGTCCATTTCTCTCTCTGCTACACATTATTATTAATGCCAAACTTGACAGCTCATTCTTTTCTTTGTCCTGGTCTGTCCTGTCTCTGCTTCATTTCATGGGATTTACTGTATCTCTGCCTTTTTTGGACAACGTTTTGTGTTCTAGAATTTGCCATAAATTCTCTACTGCAGCACAAACTAAAATTAACTCCCCAAAGCCATCTCTGCAATGATCCCTCCATTGTGCCTCTTGAGGCTTTGGACATGGGCTTTAGTTTGTAAGCACTTTGTGATACACAGAAACCCCTGTGCTGCATCTGTCATAAAAACCTTAATACAAGAGCACAGACAAATACAATACAAGGTTTGCTGTTGGCACTCAGCAGAGAAATACAGTCATATAAATTACATAAGCAGAGGATCCTTGTGTAGGCAACAGGATAGCCTTATTGAACTCCAAGTGCCTTTACACTTTGCTTACTTGGAAACTTGGACTTGACTTTACTGCCCTTATAAGTTAAAAAAACACTAAAAATAAACTTCAAAAAGTTTAAAATATACAACCAAAGGCCCACTGGTGTCTTGGAGGGGTTGGCCACATGCCTGTATCTTTGTGCTTGGATTTAAATACTTCCATAGCCTATATTCTTTAGGATGACTACAATTAACTACACTAAAGAATTATTATATTGTGCTCTACATACCACTTTTCCTATGCTGACAGCACAAAAAAAGTTTTACGTAGTTAGAGTTGCTGTTATGAACAGGAAGGTACCTATAAATGACATAAACTGAGAAAATTTAACCGGAGACTCATATGGCACAGTTATTTTCAATGCATAGTCCGGAGTTAATGAGACGTGTGAATGGTTTCATTGTGTAACTGTCTGAACCTCAGCTGTAAGCTGTGGCAGTTTCAGGGGGTGAACAGGGTCCAATTCATGACTGCTGTAATTGGACCGAAGTCGGTGACATTGCCAAAATGATGGGTCAAGTGTAGAGCGTGTGCAAGCACAGCCAGAGCCTGGCTGCAGCTCTAGGAGGTCCCACACATGGTGAATGGGTGGGGCTGGGACAGACTGGATGAAGTGGCCTCTTTGAGTAAGGTTGGAAGGACACAAAATTAATCCGAGGGTTAGGAGGGGTAGAGCTGCAGGCGACGCTTCTCTCCAAGAGGACTGCTGTCCTGACATGACTGTGTGAAGGGAGAAGCACGACGGGGGATGGTGGAGACACACCACACAAAGC